CCCCCCCCCCCCCATTGTGCATTTCCCCCTCTGACGTCTGGGCCGGTGTACGTTCTGAGCGTCTCCGTGAGACAGTCGTGATTGGCCCACAGTGATTTCCATGACGTAGTCTGGTGGTGTCTGGAATTTTTGTGAAAGGTTTCATACAGACGTAATAGACGCGGTTAATTGTACCTGATCGTGATCCCTTCTATTAGAGGATGAATTGGCTTGCTTAGGCCTGAATGATTTAGGTCAGGGGGAAGGGAGATAGAAACAGTTGATGCCTAGTCCCGGCAGAGCAGACTCCTTTGATCTTAAGCCCTGATTTAATTTTACAGAGTATTTTAGGTGATTCAAACATTTTAAGCAGTATAAGAGTCGCATCCTTTAACAAAAAACCAATTTGTCCATGCTTTGAATTGTTTACTATGAACTTTGACTGCGTCCAATGGTATTGCATTCATGTATGAAATAGTTAATCTATGTCTGTCCATATCCCCACCACTTTAGCGGTACATTTTCTAGTTGAAAGGTGTTGCTTAAAAATATATATATAAGAAAACAACTTGTCAGGAAAGTTAAATAAAATATTTTCATAACACATTATAATTTGATAAGACAAAAAAAAAAGTATCAAAACCCTAGTCCAGTCGTTCTCACTCAGGACTGCACACGGGATTTAGGAAAGGTGCAGGAAGGGTTGTACATGGGGTGCAGGAAGGGTTGTACAGTACATAGGTGTGCAATTTGAAGAGCATTCACTGGATGGCCTTTATGTAAGCAAACGAATAAATTATGTCATGAACTTTTGTTGTCTGCTATTTCATTTTCGAAATATAATTCATTCGCTTACATTATATTGTACTTGTCAGGTCCACGGGATGTATGAAATGCCTCTTTAAAAAAAAAACCCACAATAAAAACCAAAAGACAACCCCGATTGAAACATTAACCCCAAAGATACACGCGTCTGTTTTAGTCTTCAATTTCTTGACACAAAGAGCAAGCGCTCCACGCATATGGTCAGTGGTGCAAGCAGAGCATTAAGACGGATTGGCCTGGTACAAGTGGGTGGCTTGAGGGAGAGTGGGGGTAGGTAGGCTTGTGTTGGGAATGGGTGTGCTTGTGAGGGAGGAAAGCCAAGGGTCTTCTCGGGAGGTAAGGGAGGTGGGGTAGAAGTGGAGGCTAGAGGTCGGGGAGAAATTAGGAAAAAATAAATAAATAAGACATTGAATACTGATCATCTATTCGTATGTAAGGAACCAACAAAAATCTAACGCATCTAAAAAGATTACAATATTGCTCTGTGTCAAATCATTTTATTTTTCTGTCCCAATGTCCTATTCTTACAAAAAATGGGGTATATCTCACTCAAGAATTTATCCTGAGCTTACGGTGCACTTTGAACACTCTTACGCACCAGCTATACCTTTGATTAGAAGCAAGCTAATGTAGTACAGGCTTTGAAGTATTCGCCAAACACTACACAGGACCTGAAGGGCTTATAGAAGTACGCCATGTGTAAGGCTCCATTACAATCTATGGTGGAATAATTAATTAGGATTTATGCAACTTTTGGGGTGGAGGATGTCCTAGTTGTAACAATACCCCCCCCCCCACCCCTACCACCTAGTATCACATAACCGGACCTTGAAGTCGACCTTAATGTCGGAGCAAGCAATCAAATTTGGGGGGGGGGAGACACATCTATGCACTTTGAAGGTGCCCTTCATTGACGTCATTAGGCCAATCGGATGGCGCACGACAGTTATGGGCAGCTAGTGTTGCGAGGTGGCCGCGTGGCCCATGTCACACAGATTGAGAGAGAGAGAACAGCATTAGAAGACAGGAACACACGTGCTGTGTGTCTGTCACTAGCCATCCAGTCCGCATGCGTCAAGTAAGCTGCTGATGTGAACTGAACCGTAACCTGAGCAAGTATCGGACGGGAATTGTTGATTGTTTTCCGGGCATGATTTATTCATCACGTCATTAAAATTGTTGCTTTGAAATTAATACGTTGTACGATAAGGGTGGCATTAATAGAACAGCACACATCGCGGTAGTAGAGCCAAAGTAGCACATTCCTAATAGAAACGATCAGAATAGCATAGTCAGAGTGGTACAGTAAGAATAGTACAGTCAGAATAGTACAGTCAGAGTATTACAGAAAGAATATTACAGACTGAATAGTACAAAAAAAGAACTGTACAGTCAGAATTGTAAAGTGATAATAGCATTGTCAGAGTAGTACAGTAAGAATAGTACAGTAAGAATAATACAGTAAGAATAGTAAAGTCAGAATATTACAGTCACAATAGTTTAGTCAGAAAAGTACAGTCAGAGAATTACAGTAAGAATATTATAGACTGAGTTGTACAAAAAGAAAGAATAGTACAGAAATAATAGCAAAGTCAAGGTAGTGGAGTAAAGATAGTACATTCATAGTAGTACAGTAAGAATAGTACAGACAGTATAACACAGTAAAAATAGTACAGCCAGAACAGTACAATCAGAATAGCACTGTCAGAATGGTCAGAATAGTAGTCACAATAGTATTCATAATAGTACAATTAGAAAAGTACAGTCAAAGTAGATATGTCTAAATTAGCTAAATGACATTTATTCTTTCTTTGAGGCTTAAAAAAAAAAAATTAAGCGACTTTTATATCAGCAAAGAACACAATTGTGGTAGCCGCATAGGCCTCTCATTATGAGGATGTCGCGAACTGCATCGGCAACTCTGACTCCAGCTGCCTGGTGTATTTTCATTCCAAAGCACGGACGTTGGCAGTATCCACTACTCATGTCTAGTGTACAGATAGTCAATGAACTTTCAATCGTCCCTTTTTTCTGTAAGATATAAAAATAGTTTAAAGCCAATTCTTTAATATATAAATACAGTTAACTCCAATTCAGTAACATATAAAATACAGTTAAACCCGATTCTGTAACATATAAAATACAGTTAAAATACAATTCTGTAACATTTAAAATACAGTTAAACCTAATTCTGTAACATCTAAAATACAGTTAAACCCGATTCTGTAACATATAAAATACAGTTAAACCTAATTCTGTAACATATAAAATACAGTTAAACCCCATTCTGTAACATATAAAATACAGTTAAAATACAATTCTGTAACATATAAATACAGTTAAAATACAATTCTGTAACATATAAAATACAGTTAAAATACAATTCTGTAACATATAAAATACAGTTAAAATACAATTCTGTAACATATAAAATACAGTTAACTCCAATTCTGTAACATATAAAATACAGTTAACTATAATTCTGTAACATATAAATACAGTTAAAATACAATTCTGTAACATATAAAATACAGTTAAAATACAATTCTGTAACATATAAAATACAGTTAAACCCCAATCTGGTCACACCGAATCCTTATTTCTGACTTCCCTAAATAAGACAAGACATGTTTAAAAATAATAACCGATATACGTATTAATTTGATACATTTTATTCTTCCTTTAATTTATTGTTGAGAACTTGAAAGCCATGAGTGGGGTTGGGGTGGTTGGGGGGGGGACGACTGACTCCATCTCGATCATAAACGTTGAGCTGGCATGTCGTTGACTACATTTGTGTCAACTAAACATTCATTTAATATTTTATTCAGAAGCAAACTTCTTTTTTTTAATGAGTCCACCCAATCCATCCCTGTGGCGCTACAGCCAATGTAGGGCGTTTGGCCTGCCTCACCACTTCCTTCCACTCAGACCTAAAGAATGCTTTTCATTTCCATGCCTTGGATTTCCAGCTGCTGTAGTTCTTTTGTCACATCATCCATCCATCTAAGCCCAGGTCTGCCTTTGAGCCGTTTTGGTGATGTACCATCTTCATGACTCTGTCATTTGGCGTTCTTTCTAAGTGTTCTAGCTTTTAAATAGTGCTCTATTCATTTCAGGTTTTACTGGGGTTTTCGTTGACATTTAAAAACAACACTTACGTCATCACTAAAAGGGAAAGTGACGCTGATTTAAAAAAAAAATACTTGTCGAATCCATTTAATCAACAAAAATAGATGTTAGTGATGAATTTCGTTCTTTAACTTACGGACTTAAACACAATGTTCCCCCCCCCCCCACCTACCCGTCCCCCTTTTTATTAGGAGAAAATAACAACACCCATTTATTTCATCATTTACATCGACAATTTCCTTACTATTGAGTTATTTGTATGCGACAATTATACGTTTACAAATACGATGTACATGTAAATAAGTTTCCATTGAAAATATCTGATCGCCCTGTGAAGACGTTGCACTCTGACTTAAGGGCTGAACTGCGCATTAGTCAGTTACAAGTATTTCGAACAAAAGTCAAACACGCAGCCTGGAAGCCAAATTGTAAGCGTACACGTTTGAAATGCCGTTGAAGATGTTTTCTAATATATATTCTCATTATTAGATTACTTTATTTGTTTGGACCTTAAAAAAGAACAACTTCCACTTTGCTTTAAAATTAAAAAAACAATAAAAAATGCAAGTTCATTAAAATTTATCCCCACTGCAGTCAGTTTAAACACTTATACTGCCCCCCCCCCCAAAAAAAAATCACTTACACTTACAATGTTGTGACGACAAATTATAATAACTTGAGAACCTTCTTGTTACAACATTTCGACTATTTAAAAAAACTACAACATTTTGTTTTCAAGCTACTCGTCATTGACGTCATACACATAAAGACCTACGACAGAGGAATTTTTTTATCAGAATCAGTTCAGCTTGGACACTCATGGCCGACACTTGTGGAACCCTTGTGGTGCGACGTGTGAAGGCAAAGTGTAGAGAGCAGTCATACGGCGATGG